TTTTTGGGCGCTGGTACTTTTTTTCTTGATCCAAGCACCGGTTCTGGAACTCTCAGTGAGAGATGCAGAACCACGTGTTAGAGGAGAAAGGAATCTTGGGCAGTTAGCCAAATAATCGCAGCGAGGCATCGAGATGAACTGGACAGGCACAGCGCCGAGGGGCTAATGAGCCGGACACTTGTTGCCACACATTCGGGGTGTGGTATGAGTCGCTGCTCCGGCACCGACTTGGGTATGGTCGCTCATTCGCCTGGTCTCTGTGCGATTAGCCCACGGAGATTTCAGCTGCTGACGGATAACGAGCGTTTGCAAAGGCCTTCATTGGGTCTGAGCTATGAGACGGATGTGCTGTTTGTGCGGTTGATTCGGGCCATCCCTCTCCGCTGGAGTCGGGTTGGTGCGTCCCCGCTAGCTATTGCATGTATAAATGTACACGGCTGACAATTTGTGGCATCTATTCATTCTCATCTACTCAAGATTCGCTACATCGTCCACTACCGCATCTTATCAGATCTACAACATCATCACGTGATCCCGGAACGACGGACGCGGGCGGCGACGCAGAGCAGGGCGCCGACCAAACAAAATGCAGGATGAGCAATAAGCTACCTCCTCTCCGGCCGCCGCCGCACCCACATACGCCGCGAGCGCGGGGATCATTGTCATCGCTGTCGCAGGCGTCGCAGCGCAGTGGAAGCAGCGTATCAACGGCGTCTGAATCTTCTAACAGTGTAGCTACACCGCTGACGGCTAAGCCGCCGGCCATGTCGCAGACCGCGCGGCCTTCGACAGGCAGCGGGGTTCCGCCCCACCAGCGGAACGCGTCCGACGGCCGCTCGCACCGGCGCCAACACAGCCAGGGATACTTTGAGCCATCGCTGCTGCACACGCCCGCTGCGGGGCTGACGGCGTCACAGAGCGCGGCGCAAGCAGCCATGCACCGCTTGTCGCCCCCCCCTCCGCCCTCCGCCCCACCGCCCGCCGAGCGAAAGCGGTCGTATACTGGTCTCGCGCCACTCAACACGACGGCCCAGTCTAGCGAGGTTCAGAGCCCGCAGTCGCTGTCGGCGGGCGCCGTGGTAGCAGCTTCAGCAGCGAGTGCGGCCTTTCCCGGGAAGAAGCCGCCGCCGTCCCCTGGGCCAAAGCCGACGACGAGTACGACTGCAGCGCCACCGGAGAAGGGCCCCCGGCCGCAGCGGTCGAGGATGAAGCTTTTCAAGCCAAAGAACATCAGCCTCGGAAAGGAAAAGGATGCAGGGGGCGGAATTCCGTCTCCCAACAAGAGTGCCAGCCTTTTACGGGCCGGTCTTACTGTGCCTGCTGCTGTTCCTAGTCCCATAGACATTACGCCCGGGCCCTTGTCTGCTAATGACAATTCCTCAACGGCTACGCTGGTGCCTCCTGTGGCCGAGAAGGAGAAGAAGCACCACTTCCTCTCTCGGCAAAAGCTGAAGCACAAGGATGAACCGCTCCATCTGCCCCTATCCTCCGCTCATTCGAATTCTCAACCTACAAATCCTGATAAACCTGCTCCCCTCTATTCATTCACTCCAGACTCCCCCGGACCGGGCAGCTTCTCTAAAACCATGTCCGGCTTCGATCTACGGCACGGGGCAAAGGCCCTTCGTGATAGGAAAAGCGAGAAGAGAAAGGAGGAAAAGGCAGCGGCAGCTGCAAAGCTCGATCTTACTCCCATAGTCTCCCACACATCTGCTACGGGAGGTGATTTGAATCTGGGGTCTTATTATAGTGATTCGGTGACACCGCTGCCAAGCTCTTCGTCCAATATCTTCCCATCTGATGCCGTGCCCTCTGCTTCGGCCCAGACTTTTAGCAACATAGGTGCCCAGATGGGTCTACCCGGCATGGGTCCCGATGATGCTTGGCCACTGCTCAAAGCTCGCCTACTGAAGCTGTTCCAATCCGAAGATTTACGGACACCCATCGAAGACTTCAACATGTTGGTCAGCGTGCACATACGCCGGTGCATACAACGCAAAGCACCACTTCTTCTCGTAGAAGACGTACGAGAACTGCTCCAAACTGGCTTCATGCAACTAGCCCACCAAAGCCTGCGTGGTGTTCCAGACGACAGACTCGTCACACGTCTCGTGGGACTCTGGACCGGTGTTTACGGCACAATTATGCCCTTCCTCCAAGCCGTATTTCTCCCCTTGGACCTCGAATTCAAAGGTCTAGGTACAATCCTAACCGACCGCGAAGCAAAAGAATTCTGGCGAAGCGTGCCAGAGTACCTTAAAAACGAAGACCGACCAGCCTCATCAAGCAGCTCTACAAGCAAACCCACCGTGAGCGACGACTTTGATATCCGCCACATCGCGCTCGTCTCCTTCCGCGACTCCGTCATCCTCCCCAAGCACGAAAACCTCATGTCCATCTTCAGCCGACTCTCCCTCGAAAACTTTCACACAACCAGCAGCACAGATAAACCCCACAAACCATCCACCCACGACCGCCCCGGCACAGCAGATAGTCTAAGTCCGCACTTAGCGAGTTTCAACTCTCAAGCCTCCACCCTCCTCGACGCAGCAAGCTCCTCCTCCGGCGGTCCCAGCCTCGCAAGCCGCAGCCGCGCAACGTCAAACACATCCGCCGGCTCATTCGGAACAGGCACCCACCATCTCAGTAGTCCGAACCCCCCCCTCGGTGCCTTAACCGAAACCGCAGAGCCGCCAGCCTTCTTCGCCGACCCCGCGAAGATCACGGAAACCGCCGCGCTGATGCTGCAGTGTCTCTATGTTCTCGCGAGTTGTCATACAGGTGATGCGGGGCAAAGTGTGATTGAGAGGCTTACGCAGGCATTGAAGTATAATTGGTTGGGAAGACAGCGGACGGGGGGAGATAGGAGGGGGTTTGTGGAGATGAGGCCTTTTCCGAAGGTTTGATTTTTTTTTTTTTTTTTTTTTGATGAGGCTGGATAGATGTTTGATGATACCCTTATTGTCCTTTTCAAGGAATTCTTTGCCTGTGATTAGTTTGGTGTGATGAAGTTTGATGTTTCGTATAGATGCATGTGCCGAGTTTGGGTGGATGATGTGTTGCACCTGGAATTTTAGTTTTCACGATATGATTTTGCCTGGCAACAATAAGTGTGACGATGGATGAATTTCAGAGATGTTGCCTGCAACGTGAAACGACTTTATTCGGGACAGGCTTAAAGCGTAAAAATCCCCAAAACTTGATCCCAAACTGGAACAACTACCGTATATAAGCCTGCTTACCTTGACTTCTAAACAGCTGCTACACTCCACCGCGCGATGTGGGAACCGTACATACAAAACCCACTGCACCACACAGCATCAATCACACCCCGTGACGTACAAAACCCATACATAGAAACCCCATCACACCTCAAACCATGCTTCCTGAACCGTTACCAGCAACTAGTCTTGTTTGATTGTCCTCCAGGGGCGCTTTATATTCTCGGCGTCCCTGATCCAAACATGTTAGATATTCGGTGCCAACTCCACCAAAAGTCTCCCGGAGCGATATAAATCTGTCTCGGGAGGGTGTACACATGTGTTGGGAATACCGGATGGGTGTGGTGTTCGAGCCATTCGTCGTGGAGGATCTCAGTTGGTGTTAGAGCCCTGATCACACCCCAACATCCACAATCTATCCCAGTAATGCGCTGACAAAAGAGCCACAGCCAAAATCTGTCTGTCGAGGCTTTGCGGTAGCTCTGAGACCAGAAACTGCAATTTTGTTTCGTGTCTTGGTTGCGAAGTTGCCTTTAGTCGTGCATCCAAAAACGGCGTACAGAGAAATCGACGAGGCAAGCTCGTAAATCGTGGCACATGTCGTCCAAAACTCTTCATGTCGTCCCATCTTTTGAAAGAAAAACATCCACTTGGCTGACCTCCGGCAAACTTAGTCCATCAGAACGATGCCTGTAGTGATGCTGTCGGAGGTTTAAACCTCCGACGACTAAAGCGGAATGTATATCAACGACAAATGTGTGCACTCAACTCTGACCAAAAGGTGAATGTAGATGTCTATCTCTATGTGAGGTGAGGTTCGAAACGTTCTCCACACTACCTCAGTCTAACCGCATTCGCCAGGAACAGTGTCAGCGAACATGCCCTTAAGCATGAACAAGACAATGATCCGTCTCAGGGAAGACTTCCTCTATAGAGGCAAAAACCCTGAGAAGTTTCGACTTCTACCTAAGATTCTGGAGGCTGGACTTTGAAGGACATGACACGCTGCTCTTCCGGGAGAGGGCCGGATGTTTTCGGGACAAACTTCGTGAATTTGCTCGTCGAGATTCTAGAGTTGAATGTGTAGAGATTTGGCTCTCGTGGGTGAGAGTGCACAGCGACCCGAAGAGGACGGAGCGATAGACGGAATCAGGGACAGGAAAGATGTAGATGTATGTCAGTCAAATACCAGTTGCAGCATGGTAGTGTGAATGACTATTGTTTTCATGTAAGGGGACGTCAGAATAAATATTCTGTACCGGTGGGCCGGTGACGTTATGTCGTACACTAGCGGGGCGTATTCACCATGTCACATATGACATGACTCTGAGGGAAAACCTCTGTGAGGGAAAAACCTAGGGTGCAGCTGGTAGTGTAGGAGGTATCGCTGACTTGCTATGCAAGTGCCCCGCATACGCGCTAGCGGCGATGCTTGAATCCAACATGGTGTTTGTGATTCTATGTCTAGAGAACAAGGAAAGCGGTGTCTAGACCTATTTGACAAAGTTATACCAAACTCCGGCACGACCTTGACCGCATTCGACGAGACCACATCCTGTGACGTGAACCACGATAAGTGATCTCGCTTCAGCGGGAGCATCCTCGTCGAGATAAAAACTCTGCAAATTCCAACGCCTACTTCTCTCAGGCAGGTATTTGGCACGAATTCAAAAGTTAAAGCCGTGAAATATCTGAATTGTACTATCATGTAGCCAATATATTGAGCTAGACGCGGCAGAAGAGAACCTGTGGCATGACAACTAGGAGCAAAAAAGTAGACGACAACGGCAGGATTCGAACCTACGCCCCCGAAGGGAATTGATATCTAACCCTCGTAGATAAATTCGAGTCAATCGCATTAACCACTTTGCTACGTTGCCATTTCTATTGAGAAACTGGCAAATACCCTATTTTGATGTGTCATTTCAGTTTGTTAGAAGCCTGCTTGAGGTATGATAGATATGGCGCTGGAATTCTAAAGTTCTACGTTGATGACGTTTCCTTTGGGGCGGGGTCATGTCGGTCACGGCGACTTCGGTCCAGGTCGTTCCAAGTCGGCAGCTTTGGCAAACAAGTCTGCCCCTCACTGCGTAAACTTCTTGTGGTGACATATATTATCACCAGCTCAGTCTGACGGGATCTGGAAAGGTGAAGTGTTGCGCGCGCGATTGCATGAAATTCCCCGGTGGTTGTAGATACCTCACCATGGGTATAAGGATAGAATTCCAGCCTATCACGAAACACTCCTATCATCACCCGTCACAATCCCAATAATGCCTTCCGCTCTTTTACGACTATCTTTAAGTCCGCACAGCGAGACGTTGGGGTCCGGGTAATGCTGTCTGTAGTCATTTCGTGCTACTTTGCCACATTTACGCCAACGATATTTGTATCAGCGTATCGCCGATGCTCGTGTCGCAACCCACGCTAAGATGAGAATTTCAAAGGATGATGAAGGCGTGGTTGCAGTACGCCCTGATGGATACACCAGTTGTATGCCCAGGTTGCTTGGCGAAGAGACGGTGTCTTGAATCGATACTTTGCTTCCTTTGCTTTGTAACAGAAGGATCAAACGGCGAGTCTGTGATTATATCCATTTTGTTGGGGGGAAGAGCAAACTGCCCTTATGGCCGAATTATTAGGTTCTTGTCTTTTTCCAAGCATTGGAAGGTGCATCAGGGGCACGGACAGATGACTACTCACCAGAAATTTCCTCTATCGGCACTCACCACCACTTCCCGCCCAGCGCTCAAAAAGGACATGATAGACGTAAAACTCAACAAGACCACAACCACCGCCGCAAAATTATGTACCAATAGATAGTAGCATGGACGGCACTAGTACCATACTCAGCGCTGAGCGTGAGCGGCTTGGAAGCCTCGATCGCGGAGTTGGAGAGGACTCTAGGCCCCAATCACCTGGAGACTCTGACAGCCAAGAGCAATTCCAGCCGCGCGCTGTTATTTACGCAGGGTAAGCTAAAGGAAGCAGAACAATTATGGTAGCATACGCTCCAAGGGTTCGAAAACTCAATTGGTACGGTAATATGTCTGCGCTTAACTACCTTGACGGCTTGAGGACTCTCTACAAACTACAGGAGAAGTGGGAAGCGTCATTAGCCATGTATAAACGAGCCTATGAAGGATAAAGAAAGGTCGGAGACCTACCTTACGAGGGTACGAGAGAAGCATTGGTGACGTGGGTCACTTCTTCTACAAGTTGGAAAGGTACAGCGAAGCGGGGAATGCGTATAAAGAATGGATTGCAGGTCTCAACAGGTCCTGGGGAGAAGAGAACCATTCCACTCTCTGTGCACTCAGAATGGTCGTCTACTTCTACATAGCATTTCGACGTGAAACCGACAAATTTCTTTTCCTTTTGGAAGAGTGCATGCGAGGATATGATAAGTTACAGTGGCCTAAGTCCAGGGAGACCATTGAAATGATCAAGTCTTTAGCCCCTGTCTATGACGAGCAGCAATAGCCGGAAAAGTCAGAGCCGCTGTGGAAGTGCTTGCAAAAGCAGTATCAGATGACCCAAAGATGGAAGCACAAAACGACACTAGACATGTACATGCAGTTGGCCCGAGCTTACCTTAAACAGAGTAAGCAGGCACAAACTGGAGATTTTTTCACGTTCACAGCAGTTCTAGTGAGAGGAATTTTCGATGTTTATCGATAAGGCAGGTAGTTTCTGATGCATATATTATAACACCACCACTCTCCCCTTTTCTACCCGCACTTGTCAGAATTTAGAACTATTCTGCTGTATCGGGTAGCTCCCCGATTTCAAGATCTTGATGTTGCCCTACCGCTGCTTGTCCTTGAATATTTGGCCGTTGCTGCGTGGAAGAGCGGGCATGCTCGATGAGGGATGATACTGCGCAAGTTACCCACAAGGCCGCACCACTAACGTATCTTGAGCGATCAAATGGCCTCTTGTGACTCAGTCTACATAGGAACCGACTCGCGAAAAGGTCAGTTGATGCTACTTCCAAGCCGCAGTTGAGACAGAATATTTTTTTCCATTCATCTGAGTCTCTGTTTGATCACTTACTGGTCTAGCCCATTTAATTCCCCAGGAAAAGGCAGCTGAACATCATGAGACATCTTAAAGCAACAATGGCGCGCATACGGCCTTGTTTCTTTGTTCAAATACAAGAGCTATATCAACTCAACAAAGCTGTCAGTTTCAGCCGCAGCATTGTTCAGAGTAATGGTCCTCTTGAACAAAGCGACTTACGCAGAATATATACTCCAGCCTCAGCTCCTCCAACCAGAACAATTTTCCACTTGCATTTCATTTCGTTTCTCACAGCATCAGCATCAGCAATTTTCTTTTTTTCATTTCAGCATTTCTAGCATCATCATCATCATGTCAACAACATTCATCAACACTCCCTTCCAGCAAGGCAACTTCAACACTTCCTTCACCGATTTCATGGGGCTGGACCCTGTTGCTTTCGACGCCATCCTCGCCCAGGACTTTCTTTCCAACGATTACAACAAGAACGGCGCAGGCACTTTCCAGGCCATCAGTCAGCCAATGTTCAGCCAAGCCCCCATTGACCCTGAAATCGAAGCACTTTTCATGAACTCTACACCTGATTTTGGACAGCAGCAGCAGCAGCAGGTATTCACCAACCCTGGACTTGAGAACTTTGGAACCGCAATCAACTATCAGGGGCTGCCAGGCTTTACTCCTTACATGCCCAACGATGGCATCACCTTCAACATGCCCTCGTACGAAACACTCACCACAACAGGTGTATCCATAACAACTGATTCATCTAACAGCACTACCTCAATTTCAACCCCCGGGCCCGCACGCTCAATCCTTCATCCTATCCCAGAAGAGACTCTCGACATCCCCACCCTTGATGAGAACTCCTCCAAGAAGCGCAAGCGCACACACTCCCTTGCGCAAAACTGCATTTGCACACCCCCCACTGGGCCCACTACGCACGTCAAGCGTCCCGCAAACGCATTCATTCTCTTCCGCAAAGCGCACAGTCAGGCAATTTCGCGCGTCGTGGGCGGGGACAACGGACAAATTTCCGCAATCGCGGGAAAGATGTGGAAGGAGGCATCAGCGGAGGTGAAGGACGAATTTTACCAACGTGCAAAGGAAGAAAAAGAACGTCATGCGAAGCTGAATCCGGGGTACAAGTATCAGCCGAAGAAGAATAAGATGGGCGTGGATTGGAAGAAGTTTGGTGATCAGAAGATGTGCACCTGTGGCGCGTTTGTACAGAATATGAAAAAGTTGAGGGTTGATGGGTGGTTTTAGGTTTTAGATGAGGGAGATAGGTGGTTTTTTCTTGTGTCTCCCGAGAATTTGGTAGGGATCTCCTTTCATGTCTCAATCAATCCTAAACGGTGATTACAATGATGGTCCCACGCAAAGGTAAATTTTCCAAGCGACTGAGCTTATAAAAGTAGTATGACAAGCCTAAGTTGATGGAACCCCGTTGGGGGAGGGGGGGGGGGAGAGGGGGATGTTTGTTACGCACGAATGCGGCGAAGACCTTTAGCTGCCGTATTAGCTGCGCCTGGCATTAGAGTCTTAGAGAAACATTGTTCACGCAAGCGGAGGAGGAATGTGTGCGACAGTCTGGTTCTCAGTGCTGCATAATGGGCCGAATTTTGAATTGTCAGTAATGTGTACTTGGTTCCATCTGAGAGCCTCTTTATATTTTGGATGTAATCCCACATAGATCAAACTGGGCTGGCATCATCCAGGAAACTAATCTTGGTGCACATTAACATCTAAAGATCAATCACCTAGAAAAGATAACAAACCAGAGAATTGTTATTGGTTTGAATGTTCTCTCTTCGAGCAGCTCTTGGGAATTTGAGACCGAATAGCATGCACATTTCGACTATCTAGTAGTGCTCACAATGGCTTACATCCCTTCTTTGGGCCGGTGATCAATACCACCCATCTCCTCGTCTTCATCATCTCCATCATAATCTTTCATTTCCACGCCACAAACCTCCTCGCCAGGGTCAACCATTTATTCGTCCAAATTCTTTACATCGTCCTCTCCATTTTCATCATCAGACTCTTTCGATCTATCGTCCGCGTCCTCCTCGCCACCCACATCGACATCCTTATACCCCTTGGAATCTCCTATTTCCTAATCATCCTCGTTGCCACTTTCGCCAGCACTCTCAACTTCATCGCTGCTATCAGAATCGCTTCAGCGGTAGCAGCCCTCTCGCGATCTAGTTCATCCAGCTGAGCCCACACATCGCTTGCCTTGATACAAGCATATCGAGTTGGCTCAGACTCACCGGTGCTGCGGCTATCGCTTGAGGACGATGAGGTCACAGACCCGTCAGAGTCCTAGTTTTTATCCAGATTTCTCGTGCATTCGTTGTTTGAGTAGCCCATGTGAAGTTGGAATTTTGTCCGAAGGATGATGACTAAGGAGCCACCGAAAAGGCGAAATACAACTCCTGAAGACGGTCTTTCGAACTCGAAGGGTGGCATGAGCGCCCTCTGTCATAGAGGCGTCATCGAAGTCTCGAAGTCATAGAGCAGTGATCTGCTATCCTATACCGGTTCACCTTCCTCCCCAGCGATTATACATTTCAGGCTCTCGCGAACTCAACCAGCTCACATGTGCAACAGGCATAGAGAAAGTTTGTGGTGGATGATTTTCAGCGCTAAACCCTACGAGATCCCGCTCATCGCATACCTCTCCTTGCCAGGATCTTGGCGAGGTTGAGGAGCCGCTCAAGCTTTCGTGGTCAAAGTCCAGACTAGCCGCATTTGACAAAACTCCTCTCTCTCCCGGGATGTGGGTGGATAATGCCTCCGTAAAAACAACAGATGAGAGCCGCTGGGCAAAAGAAATAGATGGTCGCGGGCGATC